GCCTGCTGTGTTCATCCAGCTCTGCACCTTGTTGTCTCGGATTCTCCAGCATCTGTAGTTCCTACTATCTCTCATACTCATCTACAATCCCACATTCACAATATTGTCATGTACAGCGTCCACATTGACAATGTCCTCATTTACAGTCCCCATATTGACAACATTGTCATGTATAGTCCTCACATTGACGATATCCTCATCCCTCTTCCTATATATGTCATTGATGCCAATGTTGATCATGAGTTTTGGCTGATCTGTCTCCCTCAGAGTTCCATGAAATCCTGCATTAGTTCCATGAAATCCTTGTCCCTGGCACCTGGGAGGGAACACACCATCCTGGAGTCACATTTTGCACTCTAGTAATGGTTGTCTGATCTTTTGGTTATAGAATTTCCTATCATTATTGCTATTCTGTTATTCTTCTTCCTCCTCTGTATAGCTGAATCATCTGTTGTGCTAGGGGTTTTTCTCTGGCTGCTCTCCCCCGAGGAATCATGGCCTGCACCAGTCTCCAATATGGAATACTGATTAGGAAGCACAATAGATTCAAGAGACTCCTGCTCTACCTGCCTGGTTTCCTTAGATTGCCTGGCAGTCACACATTGCCTCTCTGCCAAGTAGTCATTGCCATTCCCTCTCTACCTTCATGCTCCTAATCTGCAAAGTGACCACCTCCTTAGACATGCTCTTCATATAGTCCTCTGCCTTGTGAATATATGAAAATAACTTCATCAGCTGTTCAGGCTTTGAAACCTGGAGCTCAAGCTTGTGCAGACAGTGACACTTCCTGAAGATGTGTTTGTCTGGAACACATGGCATGTCCATGATTTCTCACATACACTCCCTTGTCCCAGCTGAATTGCCATACTGTTAACACTGAAACTTGGGAATAAATTTAACCTTACTATGAAAACCTACAAGTAACTTAACTTTACTTCACTTACATTAATATTATTTTCCTTTGGTTTTAACTTTTTATGTTATATTAAGTTGACAAAATTTAATTTTACCACCCATTTGCTAGTTCGGCTTCATCATAGAATCCCTACAGTGTGAAAACAGGCCATTCAGCCCAACAAGTCCACACACCCCCCTCCGAAGAGCATCCCACCCTGACTCATTCCCCTACATCTAACCCAAACATCCCTTGACACTATAGGCAATTTAGCATGGCCAATCCACCTAGCCTGCACATCTTTGGACTGTGGGACAAAACCAGAGCATCCAGAGAAAACACACACAGACACAGGGTAAATGTGCAAACTCCACACAGCCAGTCACCTGAGGGTGGAATTGAACCTGGGTTCCTAGCACTGTGAAGCAGCAGTGCTAACCACTGAGCCACCGTGCCACCCAATTTGCTGAAACCTGCTTCTTCTTCCAAAATAGTATTTCTTTTTACTTTGTTTTACTTTAAGCTATTCACTCCCAAACAGCAGTTTTTGAAAACCAAGAAACTTACAGATATCTTGTGACATCACTGATAGATTTTCTTTCTCATAGTCAGCTTCTCTAGGTGCTGTGTTCAGAATGAAGTCACTCTCTGTTCATCACACTCTTTTTAAACTTGCTGCTTCTGTTCTGGGTTTTCTGTTCAATACGCAGCTACTCCCTGGTCTCTTTTTAAACTTGTTGCCTCCTCCCTTAGTGCTGTGTTCAAACTAAAGCCACTCCTTTCTCACCACTTTTTAAGTTTGCTGTCCCTGCTCTGGGCATGTCACTCAGAATGAAGCCACTGTTCATTCTCCATGCTTTTTTTCAATTTGCTGCCTCTGCACTGGGTACTGTGTTTAGAACAAAGCCACTTCACGTGCTCTGCACTTTTTTTAATCTTGCTGTCTCCTCTCTAGGCTCTGTGTTCAGAATGAATCTACTTCCTGCCCTCTGAGCTCTTCTTAAACTTGCTGACTCTTCCTGCAGTGCTGTATTCAGAACGAAGCCAGTCTCTGCTCTTTTTAGACTTGCTGCTTCCACTCTCAGTGCTCTGTTCAGAATGAAACCATTCCCAGCACTCTTCATGGAAACGTGAAAAATAAGAGCAGGAGCAGGCCATTCAGTTCTTTGAGACTGCTCCGCCTTTCAATATGATCATTCAATGCAGTACCGAATTTTCACTTTCGCCCAATGCCTTTTCACCCCTTTAGCCTGAAGAACTATATCCACCTCCTTCTTGAAAACATTCAATGTTTTTGCCTCAACATTTTCTGTGGCAAAGAATTCCACAGACTCACCACTCTCCAGAAAACAAAGTTTCTCCTTACCTCAGTTCTAAATCACCTACTTCATATCCTTGAACTATGACGCCTGATTGTGGACTCCTTGGTCATCGGAAACATCCTTGCAGCATTTATCCTATCTAATCCTGCTAGAATCTTATAGATTTCTGTTAGATCTCCCTTCATTCTTCTCCACTCCAGTGAATACAGTTCTAATGGATCCAGTTTCTTCTATTAAGGCTAAAATATCATTTGCCTTCTTCACTGCCTGCAGCTCGCCCAAATCACACTGAAACATCAGTTCCCTCATCTAAATTATTAACATATATCATGAATGATTGGGGCCTAAACAGTGATTCCAGTGGTACCCCGCTAGTCACCAACTGTCACTCAGAAAAAGACAGTTTATTACTACTCTTGCCTTTTGTCTGCCAACCACTTCTCTTTCTATGTCAGCTTACTAGCCTTAATCCTATGCACTTTAATATTAAATGCTAATCTCTTATATGGGACCTTGAAAATCTTGAAAAAGTATAAGCAAGCAAAATCCACTGGTGCCCCCTTATCAACTATACTTGCTACAACTTCAAAAAATTTTGGTACTTTTGCAGCGTGGTCTCCCTTTTGAAAATCCATGCTGACTCTGTTCAATCCTGTTTTCCAAGTGATCTGTTATTAAATCATTTATAATGGACTCTTGCATTTTATACTTGTTACTCTCTCCCTTCACACTGTGTTCAGAATGAAGCTGCTCCCCCCTCTCCTTGTTCGTTTTAAACTTGCTGCCTCTCTCTGCACTGTGTTCAGCGTACTATGGAATACTATGCTCAATTCCAGCTACCTGGTCGTAGCAAAAATACTCTGGCCGGGGTAGGTATGCAATGTAGATTTACTTAGATTTACATTAATTTGAACTCCAAGAGTTAGATTAATGGGTAGGGATTATACAAACTAGGCCATCAGAAATGATAAAGTTCAGGAGTAATTTGATTGAAATTTTCAAGGTATTAAGGGGAGCAAGTAGGCTAGGCACAAAGTATTTTGGTTGGTTGGAGAATATCGGCCGAGAGATCGTACCCCTTGCAAAAGAACCAGGCATTTTGGGGCTAATGTTAAAAAAAAATGTTTCCCAACACAATGTGTGAGAACTTTGGAGCACTCTTCTGCAAACATCAGTTGCTAGATTAATTGTTAATTTTCAATCTGTGACTGATAGCTTTCTATTAATTAAAGATATTAACGTAGAGTTTCCAAACTTTTTCCCTATTGTTATTAAGCTTGAACATTGTTGTTAACCCTCAGTAAGATCTGTGAGAATGGGCAGGGAGTGATGGAAGACCTGTGTCACTGGGTTGGGTAGTAAAGTGGAGGGAAACCTGTGAGTGTGGATGGGGAATAGGGGAAAACCTGTGCCACTTGGTGGAAAGGTGGGGGGAGATTTGTGTCATTGGATGGGGCATGAAGGGACACATATGTTAATGAAGGTGCAGGCAAGTGACCTGAGAGGGTTTTAGTAGGGGTGTGCAAGTTATGAGAGTGGATAACTGTTAAGGTGTACCTCTGCTCCAACTCATTAGATCTCCACAGCGGCCATTACTGCAATGAATCTTGCAACTTGAAAGTTATGGCTTGTGATCCCACTTGCCAGTCCTGACCCTTACTTTAGGAAGTCCTGGATTGAAGAATGTGGGGCAAAAAGTGGGCACCTGGCCAGAGATCAGATATAATGTTTTAAATGGACAAACAGGCTCAAGGGTAGTATGGCTGCCTTCTGATGTTTTGGTCCAATCACCATGGTTTGTGTATTAACAGTTGTTGTGGATGGGTTCTGTTAAATTGCAGGACCTGGTGAAGACTCACCTAATGTTTGCAGTTCAGGAGGAAGTCAGGATGTTGAAGGAGCAGATCAAGGAACTGGTGGAGAAGAACTCAAATCTGGAGCTGGAGAACAGCTTGCTGAAGAAACTGCTCAGTCCTGAACAGCTCCAGAAACTTCAGTTGCAGGACAGATACAGTGAAACTGATGCAAAGGTTGCGTCCCCAGATCACGCAATATACTGAGGCTGGGTTAAGAAGCCACTCTGGGAGAAACAGGACCACATCAGAGTATTGACTTTTGTAAGAGAGAGACCAAGGCTACAGCTGGGCCTAACCAGGTGGGCATTCCATAGGATGCAATATTCGTCAACATAATTGTCAACCTCCAATAAGCAAATTTTTCATTGGGTATGGAATGAGCAAGGGAAGAGGGTGGGTTCGGTCAGAGGTATCATGGTATCATTCCTTTAAGGTTGAAGCCACAGAAGCCACAGCACTTCCACACTGGCCAGGACCAAGGGAAAGTGAGGCTCAGAAACTATCACTGTTTCACCTGATCATTTCTGTTGTAAAGAGTAACTCAGACAGTGGTGAGGTTCTGAGATACTGAATCTCCCACGTATTGTGGTGTATACCACATTAGCTACCTTGTGTTCTTGCCAGAATCCTGTGACTGAGTCACTTATGTTTACATTAGTGGTGTGATCAGTCTTCAACCTGATATTACTGGGCTCATATAGCCAAAGTTGTACTGCAGAATCCAATGTTATCTTTACCAGTGAGTTTGAGAAAGAGGATCTCAACTTCCCTTTGGGAACTGGCTTGTTGTTATAGGAATGGTGAACATTAGGAACCAATCAGAGGGACAGTTTTTCATACTGCTGCTGGGAGGACTGTGAGAAGGTCACAAACCACAGATTGTGGCTCAGGGTCATATGAGCGGGATTTTATTTTGTCCCTTGGCTGTTAAGTGCATGTGTGTAAGTCGATGATATACAATATAATAAATTGAGCTGTTCTGTAATCTGGTCTCTTTGTGTTTGGGCAAAATCTCTTTCCTCTAATTATAGCATATTTATATAAGAAGGCCATTTTATCTGTCATGTCTACACCTGATTCTGCAATTCAGCTAAATGCACTCCCCTGTCCTTTCCCTGTAACCCTGCAAATTTTATTTATTAATTACTTATTCAATTCCTTTGAAATGCCTTGATTGAACCTGCATCCCCATTCCTTCAGGCCCTAACCACTTGCTGTGTAAAAATGCTTTTCCCCATGTTGATCTTAGTTCTTTTGTTATTCACCTTAGATTAGATATCCTCTGGTTTTCAAACATTCAATCAATGAATTCAGTTTCTCACTCCCTACCTTCTCTCTCTATGCAGATACTGCCTCACCTGATGAGATTTTTTTGGCGTTTTCTATTTCCATTTCCACCATTCACAGGATCTTTCTTATCATCTTGAGTTTTCTATCCTATTAATAATTGCCAAGATACCATCTGCTTCATGTAACTCTTTTACAACTTGCTCTGCTGCCTCAAACATTTTTTCTTTACTCTTTCATGGGGTTTGAGTGTTGCTGGCAGGGCCTGCATTTGGTCCCATCTCCTCAATTTCTGCTCAGAGGGCAGTCTTGCCATCCCAGGAAATCTGTGTGGAGAACCTGCATTGGACTTCCTCTCTAGCCAATGTATCCTTTCTTAGGTAAGAGCAGCAAAGCTGTTTAGAATACTCCAGCTGTGCTTTCAACAGTGTTCTTTAAAACTTCAGCAAGACAGTTTCATTGCTGTACTCAAATTATCTCTCTACTTTGTCTCTGATCATTATGATCAATATTCCACAAATGGTCATGTTTGACACTTCACCCATTTCATTCCTTAGAACCAGATTCAGCAAAGGCTCTTTTTTCAATTGGCTGGAAAGATACTGATCAAGAACATTTTCCTTAAAAGAAAATTCAGAAATTGTCCTCCCTCTCTGCCTATACTCTATCATTGAGGTAATATAGACTGGAACAGTGTATATTCTCAATGTCATTACTGTACAATGTTTGAATTTCAGTAATTTTTAGCAAATTGTTTCTTATATAATTTACGTCTTCCATGCTAGACCTGTTGACTGTGTCCATTCGCCAGAATCTGCATTTCATTTGCACTTTTGCATGTTTTTCTTTCGTAGACATTTTATGTCCCCATTACTAAAGCCAAAGATTTCATTTGCTCCTTTCTGCACTTTCTCAACCCGTTCTTCAGTCTTGAAATATTTTTCTCCTTTATTCATTCATAGATTGAGTGTTGTTTGCAAGGCCATCATTTGTTATCCTTCCCTAATTGCCCAGGTAAGTGACACGACCATTTCAACAGCAGTTAAAAGTCAACAATATTGCTGTGGGTTTAGAATCACATGTAGACTAGACCAGGTAAAGGTGGCAGACTTATTTTCCTAATTGACATCAGTGATCTAGATGTTTTCTAAACACAATTGCCCACCTTGACCCATTACCATGCCTAACTTTAGATTCCAGATTTATTCATTGAATTTAAAATCCACCAGCCACTGAGGTGGGAAAACAAAACTATGTCCTCACAGTGTTACCTCACTAATCCAGTGATGTGGAGGTGCTGGTGTTGGACTGGGATGGACAAAGTCAGAAGTCACACAACACCAGATTGTAGTACAATAGCTTTATTTGATTTCAAATAAATCTGTTGGACTATAACCTGGTGTTGTGTGACTTATGGAGTCATAGAGTAATATAGCATGGATACAGGCCCAAACTGGTCCATGCTGACCATGGTGCCCAATCAGCTAGTTCCAATTACTCGCATTCGGTCCATATCCCTCTAATCCTTTGTCACTCATATACCTATCCAAATGTTTTTTTAAATGTTACTGATGTATCAGCCTCAACCACTTTCTCCGGCAGCCCATTCCATATACGTATCATTCTCTGTGTGAAGAAGTTGCCCCTCAGGTCCTTCTTCAAGCTATCCCCTCTCACCTTAAACCTATGCCCTCTAGTTTTCAATTTCCCATCCCTGGGAAAAAGACTATAAGCATTCATCCTATCTATGCCCCTCATGATTTTATACACCTCAGTAAGGTCACCCTCATTCTCCTACGTTCCAAGGAATAAAGTCCTATCCTGGCCAACCTCTTCCTATAACTCGGGCCTACTAGTCCTGGCAATATCCTTGTAAATCTTTTTTGCATACTTTCCACTTTAATAATATCTTTCCTATAAAACGGTGACCAAAACTGGGCACAATACTCCATGTGTGGCCTCACCAACGACTTATACAACTGTAACATAACATCCCAACTGGTATGCTCAATGCCTCAACTGATGAAGGCCAGCATGCTAAATGCCTTCTTCACCATCTTGTCCACCTGTGATGCTACTTTCATCAAACTATGAACTTGTACTCCTAGGTCCCTCTGTTCCACAACACTCCTCTACTTACCATTTACTGTATAAGTGCTACCTAGGTTTGACTTTCTGAAGTGAAACACCTCACACTTATCTGTATTGAATTGCAGTTGCCAGTCCTCAGCCCACTTTCCTATTTGATCAAGATCCTTCTGTAAGTTTTGATAACCTTCCTCGCTATCAATGTTACATCCTAATTTTGTATCATCCACAACCTTACTAATCATGCCTTGTACATTCACATCCAGATCATTTATGTAAATAACAAATAACAAAGGTCCCAGCACCAACCGCTATGGCACACCACTAGTCACAGGCCTCCAGTCTGAAAAACAAATTTCAACCATCATCCTCTACTTCCTACCATCGAATTAATTTTGAATCCAATTAGCTAGTTCTCTCTGAATCCCATGTAACCTAATCTTCATGAGTAGCCTGCCATGCGGGACCCTGTCAAAGGCCTTACTAAAGTCCATGTAGACAACATCCACTGCCCTACCCTCATCTATCATCTTGGTTACCTCTTCAAAAATCTCTCAGAGATTTGTCAGACATGACTTCTCGTGCACAAATCCATGCTGACTATCCCTAATCAGACCTTGACTATCCAAATGTTGCTTGATCCTGTCCCTCAGTATCCTCTCCAATAACTTGCCTGCCACTGATATGAGGCTTACTGGCCTGTAGATCCCTGGCTTGCCTTTGCTACCTTTCTTAAACAATGGAACAACATTAGCCACTCTCCAGTCTTCTGGAACTTCACCAGTGACTTCTGACACTAATCCAGTGACATTACCTCTACACCAGCATCTCCCCTATTATACACCAATCTATCCCAGATGCCTCACACTTCTATACACTTTGTAAATATATCCTTTTCTCTCCTTGATCCTGTCAACATATACCATGTTACATTTTCCTCAATTGTATTTCACCCAGCCAAAAATATCATTTGCCTCTTTCTGCACTTTCTCAACCTGTTCTGCTGCCTTGAAATATTTCACTCTCCTGTCCATGTCCTCCTGAAGTTTGTTACTATTCTCTTTCCAGTTGACAACAGTTTTAAGTTTTCTGTCATCTGCAATTGTGCCCTGTACATCCAAATCCAGATGATTAATATCCATTAATATCCTACTGACCTCCTCCGGGTGCTCCGGTTTCCTCCCACAGTCCAAAGATGTGCAGGTTAGGTGGATTGGCCATGCTAAATTGCCTGTAGTGTTCAGGGATGTGTAGCTTAGGTGGGTTATAGGGTTTTGGTTCTGGGCGGGATGTACTGAGGATCGGTGTGGACTAATTGGGCCGAAGGGCCTGTTTCCACACTGTAGGGATTCTATGATTCTATGACCTCAGGAAGCTTCACTGTATGCCTTCTTCCAATGTGGAAAAAAAAACTGTTCACCACTCCTCCATGTTTCTTGTTACTGTCAGCCCCATGTCCCTGTTGTCATTCCCCCTCTGATTCCACAAGCTCTGAGTTTGCAGCAGGCCCGTTGTTTGGCACTCTGTCTAACACCTTTTGAAACTCCATGTACAACACATCAACAGCATTATCTTCATTAATTACTTCATCAAAAACATCAACCAAGTTTGCTAAACACGACTGCCTTTAGCAAATACCTACTGCTTTTTCTTAATGAAACCATACTTGTCAAAGTGATTGTTTATGAACATCTGTTTCAGGATATCAATTTTCACAGCATTCCCATAATCCCACAGCAGACTGACCTGTAGTGAATGGAGTTATCCTCAATCGTTACTGAACAAGAGTGTAGGATTTTCAATTCTGCAGTCATTTGGCAGCATTGCCAAATCTGGGAGTCGGGAACAGGTTGTTTTTTGCTATTTTTCTGCTTTGTGGGATTGTACCTTGACATTACTTGGACTACTTCCTCTTTAAAGACAGCTGATTTTTATTTTTTTCTCCTCTGACAAGGTTGCCAGTGTACTTTTAAAAACAGAATTTAAGTTTATAACACAAAAGAAATAAATGCTACATATATATTTGGAAAGATCATAAACAGCAGAAAGAAAGATTCCATTCTATTTCTCAG